GAGCTCCACAGTGACAGGACACTTATGGGAGAGTTTTCTTCCAGGTCAGAAATATGAAGTCATTGCCATCTACACATTCAGCAACCTGCTTATTTCTTGGAGTGGGAGGTTTCCAGATCCCATTGTGATACCAGGAGGGCTGAGCATCTTCTTTCTCAGTCAGCAAACCTCCTGCCAGTCTTCATCTGGCCTCTTCCCTGAGGCAGCCACATGCTCCCATGTTTCACAGCTGGTCCCTCTCAGACTCACTAGGTTCATAAGGACTCAGTTGGCTAAAGTACAAGGACTGTGGGAAGCAAAACAAGTAACAAGAACTGTCAGAAATAGGTTTCTATGTTTCTGCCTTTGTTTAAAGAATGCCTCAGCTCCTTGCTCTTGATCCACTGTTGGTAGGTATTGCAGCTGGGATTTCTTCTCTGCCTCCTCTGAGTCATGGCCCCAAGACTATGATTTTTTCCTGGGACTGCCTGAATCTTTCACTCTCCAAGATGGGAACCAGGACTCCTGGCTGATCTGGGCAGATTCATCTGGCATGGTCAAACTTTACAGTGCTGAAATGCCACAGTGATGAGATACTGGATTCAGGAACAGACAGTTGAAAATGGGCTGGTGTTGGCTACAGATCAACATTTAAGCATGGAGCATGATCGCTGGGGAACTGGTCAAGGCACAGTGCAAAGCAATCTCTGAACTCAGCTCAGCAACTGCACTGTGCAGAGATTCATAGCTACTAGCAGCAGTCTGTGATGTTACAGAGCTCTGTAAACTTACCATGTGACACAAGTGATGGATATACATCATTTACCCAGTGATTCCAGGGTTATCTCAAGCTGGTACAGAGCTGACATAGGTCAGTTCAGTATGTGTAAGGTAAAGACAAGAGACAAACAAGTCATGAGCAGACAAGCCTTCAGCTCTTACCAAATTCAGTGGTTCATTTAGCTAGCAGGTAATTCTTCACTGAAATCAGTCAGAGTGCAACCAGAACAAGTCTCAAGAGGCCAAAAAGAAGAATGTATTTGGAAGCTGCCACCGTGAGGTAACGATCTGGATTTGTCCCAGGATTAAATAACACCTTACTGCTGCAGCCTTGGGTGATGGAGCACTTCAGGCAAGCAGATGCCTGACTGCTGGGTTTGTTCCCTTATACCTGCAAAGACACAACCTCGACCTCAGCACTGCCCTGGTACTTGTCCAAATAATGAAACTAGCTACTACATTTGCAGATTAATCCCTGAGCACGGGACTCTGTAAATACTAGGCAGCCCAACCTGGGGCACAGAAGTTTCGAGATAACAACAGATTTGATTGGGATGTGCTAGGCTGAATTTTGTAGCTGTTAGTGCTGTTCGGCTGGCAATGAGCAGGCTCCTCTGCCTGATTGCATGTCAGGCTCTAGTGTTCATTGGTGGTCGCTGTTGGCTGTGCTGCTGATCACCTCACTTCGCTGTGTCTGGGGACCCTCTGGTGACAGCCGTGGTATCCCTGCTGTCTCTGGGCTGCTGTACTGGACAGGCTGGAATTCCAGAGGTAACTAATTTGAAGGAACTGAGGATGAGTCCAAGATGGAGCAGAGATCCACCTGCAGCCTATGGAGGACCCTGTGCCAGAGCAGGTGGATGCCTGAAGGAGGATGGGACTCTGTGAGAAGCCTGTGCTGGAGGAGGTTTTCTGGCAGGAACTGTGGCCTCACGGGGGAACTCATGTTAGAGGAGTTCAAGGAGAACGGTCCCCTGTGGAGGAGGGGAGGCAAAGATTCCCCTGCAGCCTGTGCTGCAGACCGTGGTGGAGGAGCCGTGTCCTGCAGCCCATGGAGGACTATGATGTGGGCTGTACTGATGAGAGACTGTAGCAGGAACCCTTTGTTGTAGCCAGGCTGGGGACAAGGGGAGAGGTTCCTTGCAATGTTAAACCTTGTAACCTGGCCCAAAAGGACCAGGGGTGGAGATTGTAATGGATACACCTTTAAATTGTTGTCAGCCATGACCTGAGTTGTATGTTACAGGAGTTATTATAACAGGAATCACCCAAACCGATGGAGCAGAAGACTTACAAGAAGCAGCTGCAGTGCAGCAGTAACCCGGCCTGAGCTGGCTTTGGTGCCCACTAACTCCACACAACACACCACCTCTCCTGTCCCGAGTGACCGCCAGAACAGATGGAGCCCAAAGTCACAGACTGAATTAACTCAAAGGATATTTTGGGGACATTTAGGGACATTTTTATTGAAATTGTGCAGGGGTGGTCCATACATCTCTGTATTATGACAAAGGGTGGGAAGAGGGGGGGTGGCTAATGAGGTTGTATTGAATAGTATGGGACCTGGGCATGATGTCAATGCTATGGAGTTAGGGGTGGAATGTGCTGTTTTCAGCTGGAGTAGGGTTGATTTTCTTCACAGTCAGGATGTGTTTTGGATTCGTGCTGAACATGGAGCTGATAATATAAGGATGTTTTCTTACTGCTGAGCAGGGCTTGCACAGAGCCAAGGCCTTTTCTTCTTCTTGTACTGCCCCACCAGCATGAAGGCTGGGGGTACATGGGAATTTGGGAGAAGACACAGCCAGGACAGCTGACCTCAGCTGACTAAAAGGGATGTTCCATACCACATGGCATCATGCTCAGGATATAGAGTGAGGGGAAGAAGGAGGAAGGGGAGGGTGTTTGGAGTGATGATGTTTGTCCTCTCAAGTCACTGTTATGTGTGATGGGTCCCTGCTGTCCTGAAGATGTCTGAACACCTGCCTGCTCTTGGGAAACAGTGAATTAATTCCTTGATTTGCTTTGCTTGAATGCAGAGCTTTTGCTTTGCCTATTAAACTGTCTTTATCTTTGCCTATTAAATTGTCTTTATCTCAATCCATGAGTTTTTCAGCTTTTATCCCCCTGATTCCACTGGTGGCGGAGTGGACAAGTGGCTGAGTGGGACTTCTCTGCTGGCTGGGGTTAAACCACGACATATAAAAACAGACCTACAGGAAAAGAAAGGAGGGGAGGGGCTTGGCAGGAAAAAACAAAAATTAAGGGTTAAAAATATATCATATGAGTTGGCATTGGCACAGAAGGAGACAGACTGTGTGCAGTGATCACTGCCACTAACAGCTAACACTTGCTTGAGTGACTGAGGTCCTTTCTGCGGTGGAGTGACTAGGCAGCTCCCTGACAACACCACAGCTATCAACCCCACTGCTGCAGGGTTTCCGTTCCCAGCACTCACAGCCAATACAATCTTACTTCAGCTTTCACAACTATTAATGCTTTGTTTAAAGTTTCAGCAACTGGGATCAAGTGATCGCTGCTGAATCTCGGCGTTCTCGCTTAAGCAGATAAGGAAAATGTAAAGCTTCTCACCGTCAGAGAGAAGCCTGATAAGATGAACCCCCGAAGGTCAAAAGTCATGATGATAAACAAAGAGAACCTAGTCCAGGATAGGGTTAAAGTATTGTGATCTTAAAAGCACACCTGGTATGCTTTTTGAGGGATTTCCTTCATTTTCTCATTGTATTCCTGGAGGAGTACTTGGAGGAAAGAAGGGACTGGCTTTAAGAAAGGAAGCATCTATTAGCAAAAGTTAGCACAAAAGGCAGCAGAAAACATTTACATCAGCTGGGGAAGGAAAAAGCCAAAGGGCTGCACAGACTTCACAAAATGAAGAAACCCCGCTATGAGGAGGTAGAGGAAAGCAGGAGGAAGATTTTTTTGCTTTTCTTCCTCTTCATCTTCCAGCCTGGCTCTCAGAATGCTGCTTTCACCTCCCTCTAGAAGAGGGGGAAGCCAAGCTTCCCATAACACTGTGTGTTCAGCTATCAAGCTGGAGACGAAGAGGAAACCAAACACAAAATAAGAACTTGTGGATTGGCCAAACAAGGATTCCTAGAGTAAGTATCACAAAGAAGGCAAGGTTGGTTAGCACTCAAGCTACCGAGGTTAGAGGTTGGCCCTGCATTCCTCTCAGGGGGAGGGGGCGGGGGGTGCCATCGACTCTGCAGCATGTGAGCTTCCTGAGCAAGCCAGGGGATTCACCCTGGTACTTTCAATAGTCTGTGTGGTTTATGAACTCATCTTGGGTCGGCTTCTCATCTAGTTGATGGTCAAGCAGATACAATTCATTCTTAGTTGAAAGCAAAACCTTCAGCCCTGTGCTCTGTGAGCTCCTGTCATGCTGGAGGGTCGCCCCTAGAGCTCCCCTGCAGTGTCCCCACCTCCAGGTTCACAGCCCTTGATCCCACCACCATCCAGGGGATGGCAAGTCAGGTGTAACAGTGACTCAGGCTGCCTCCAGCAGCGGTGATGGTGGGGATGAGCATGGGTACATCCCTCCTCAAGCTCTTCCTAGCTAGGATTTCCACTAGCTAGGGAGTCAGAGTTGCTGGCATGGCACTGGCTGCATGAACCCCATCCCTGTGCCCAGCAGTGTAGCCTGAAGACCATCAGCTGCAAGATCTTTGATGCTGCTCCATGTCCTGGACAGAGTTACACCCATTTAGCCTTAAAGAAAAGCCATCCAGTGTTTGCCAGCTAACACGTCGTGAGGGACAGAGACAGCCACTTGGAGAGCTTTCTGAATATGTGAGCGTATTAGCAAAAACCAGAAACAAAGCCCAAACCAGCTCAGTGATTAATTATCACATACCTGGAAAGAGAAATTTAAAATATTATCCTCTTTCCCTCAGCAGCCCAGCCCACCAGGAGTGACTCGGTTAGGCATATGGTGCACCTATCACCACAACCAGCAGACCCAGATAACAGTGAGGGTGGGAAGCAGGCCTTCCCTGTCACTTGTAATCTTCTCACATGCAGAGGCATCTTAAGTCCTTTCTAAACACGTTGATACTGCCTGAAAATCAATGAAAAAAAGCCACCCTTTGTTTGTGTTAACAGGATGAGAAAGTGCAAGGCTTCCTGTTATGTGTGTGTGACAGCTATAGATAAGCAGAGACCTCTGGACAGGAAATCCGCCCAACTTCTGCAGTGTGATTCGTCTGAAGCTTGGGAGCCCTTTTTAGATTGAAGCACCAACAGAATGAGACGGGGCTGGCCAGAAAATGGGGGACACGCTGGAGAAGAGCTCTGAGGAGCCCGAGATCTCTTTGGACAATGAGTGCTCGACGAAAATGGGGGACCTGGTGGAAGTCTCGAGCAGTGAAAAGGTCAAGTTTGATGATGCAGGTCTCTCTCTGGTGCTCCAAAACGGCCTGGAGAACCTTCGGCTTGAAAATTCCCTGACGGATGTCATCCTGTGCGTGGACAGCAGGGAATTCTCCTGTCACCGTGTGGTCCTTGCTGCAGCAAGCAATTATTTCAGGTAAGGCTTGTCACAAACATACCCACTAAACTTACTTCGCTTCTTAGACTTGAACTGTAGCTCTCCAAGGAGCGTAAACTGGGTGCTAAGCTCTGCAAATTTGCAGGGAGCCTCTAATTCCTTACATCTTTCAGCTCATTTTTTAAGCTTGGAGACTTAAGTAAGGCAGGTGCCAGGTTGTGGATTTGCTGGAGATCCAATACCAGCATGCAAAAATAAAAAAGGAGAATGTTGGCAGATAAGTGGATAAGAAAAGGGTGTTTTAGCCAAGTATCTTTAGCCTCTTGTATTGTCCTTTTGGGATTTGGGCAAAGAGGAACATCCATTCAGATCACAGGGCATTTTTATTGAAATAGGAGTGGGTTTGTGGAACTTGCTAATTTTTTATTACCATTGAGGGGTAATAATATATATTGCATAAAATTGTTAGGGAGGAAAGAGAGGGAATTTTCCCTCTGTCCTAGGGTTACTGAAAACCAATTGCAATGGGAAATATTTCCTTGAAAGCAATTTTACCAATTTTTCATTCTTTCACTACAATAGTTAGTCTATTTGAGACAACTGGCCAGCAAGGACAAGTTTTAGACACACAGAGGAACTCGGTATCGGTTTTAACACAGATTTTCCATTCTCATTTAAACAATCACATTTGCATGGCTGGGATTTTTTTTCTTTCTTTCTTTTACTGCTAAAGTGGTCAGATGACTGAATAGCTACAGAGGAAACACGAGAAAAAAAGAACCTGTGACCACTTGTGACATGAGCAGAAAGCTAATTTTAATGGAGTCTGGTAAGCTTTGCTGGTAGTGCCTGGAAGAACAGTTCTGTTTTTATAATCTAGAAGAGATATTATGTCTGTGAATATTTGGAAACAGGTATTATTTCTACAGAGAAAAGACATTTATTGCGTATGAGAGGATGTACAACTAAAAGTGGTGATGCTCAAATATTTCTTGCCAGCACTGGATGCAGAAAGGAGAGCAGATATACAAATTAAAATCAAAATTATCGTAATGGTACTTTGATAAAAACCCACAATTCCATTATGAGCAAAAGTGCTGCAATCAGAAGGACTTCACAGGTAAATGATAGTTTTATGATAACAGTTATTGGCCGGTTTTCCACCGAGCCCTGAGCTACAGCCTGTCCTTTGGAACGAAGTGGGATACCTGGCTGGAGGTCATCTCAACCCAAGGTAATTGCACACATGTGTGGGCTCTGCCCCCCTGGGTGCTTCTGTTTGGCCTGGCCTCCCACAGAGTCGAGATTTGTTACATCACTGTCAGTGCCTCTTGTCACGCTCTCTGGGACAGTTTCAATCACACTTGGCTGAGGATGGAAATCTCACAAATGAAGTTCACACAAGTTTGACAGAAACTTGCAGCAAGGAGAAGAAAGGTGCTGGCCCTGGCAGCCCAGGGGGCCCTGCTGGGCAAGGAGCACAGTGTCCTGGACAGCCAACACACACAGAGCCTCAACCAGCCAAAGCACACGCTGCCAGACACAGAGCTGAGCTTCCTGGGAGGGACATACAATGTGTGACAGAGGGATAACCAGGGAGAATGGAGGGCTCAGGAAGGGGAAGCTGAGTTTACTGTGAAGAGGGAAAAGAGGACAAAAGTCTGCAGGGAACTGAGCTTCATTCATCTTGCCGTAACTCACTGGAAGCTGCTCGGGCCCAAAGAAAGAAGGAATTCTTTAATCCCACTATTCCTGTGAGTACTTTCCGTGCCATTACAGAGCCTCTAACAGCCATGCACAAGAGCAAAGCAGAGGGACCCAGTGAGTCATGGGCTTGATTCCCCTGCAACAGTTAAGTTACACAACCCCCTTCCTGAGCACTAGGTGCCACAGCGCAGGCAATGCCCAGCAGCTGACTGAGACACAGTTAAACCAAGCTGACAACCTCTAGACCTTTCTTCAGCACTGCTTGAGAGTAGATACACTAGTTCCTGCGACATGTCCTGTGTCTGTAGGCATAAAAGCATTAACTCTCCATTTGCTTGGATGATGGTAACAAAGAGAAAAGAAACGTGAGCTGACCAAGGGTAATGGGAGAATGGGGCTAGGAGAGGTTGAAGTAATATTTTCCAGAGCATCCTCAAAATCCAAAGTGGTTGTTTGAAGTCAGGTTTTTAATTCCAAGCACAAGCATTCTAGTGTGGGTGGATGCTTAAAAAGCACTTCACAAACTACAATCCTCCACTGATTTTGTTGAGAATTCTCCCTGTTTTTTCTAAATTTATCCATTTTTAGACTTCTAAATGTGGTGCTGGACCCTTACTTCATGTGCATTTCTTAGAGTACATGTTGATTCAAAGGTGTAGTTTGGAATTACAGAGGGACAAGAACTGGGGAAACACAGTGAAATTAGTAGCCACATCTGAAGGATTTAGAGCCTCCTGAGGGTAAGTACAGAAAGGTTCAAAAGCAGCATTTTAATCCCTAGGAGAGAAGCTCAGCCTGATCAACCTGAGTGGTGTTGGGTGTTCCCTCTGGTCAGTGTGGGAATGAGGATCACTCCATTTTAGCAGAAGGAAGGTCATGGGATCAGCTCTCCTGTGTAGCACTGCCCTTTTCAGTCCTGCCACATTCTAGAGAGGAGTACTGATGGAAGAGCAGGGTGCTTCAGGTGTGTGATATCTGCAGGTTGCAGCCACATTACAGGAGTCCACACCCCATGAAACTGGGAGTGGATGGGAGCTCTAGCACCATTTCAAAGATTAGGATGCAGAGAGGTGACAGCACTTTGAGCAGATCCCTGTGTGAAGCCACCACCAGAATCCCCAGGCTGGTTTCTGAGCAGCCTTGCACAGGCACTGGGAATCTTGAACTGATCCCATCAAACTTTCCGGCTCGCTGGGACGGCAGTGAGACTCTCACCTCCCTGACAGAGATGGTTAAATACAAGACTGGAGTCACCACCGGTTTAAGAGATGAAAGGAAGAAGAGCAGACAGCACCTGCACCCTACACCGGCCTGTTTCTCGCTCAGATGAAGCATCCGGCACCCGTCAATCCCGCGCCACTGAACGGCTGTTCTGGGCAGACCTCCCTCTCTGTGCTGAAACCCCCATCCCAGGGAGAAGTGGGTACTGAGGACTGCGGCTTTCAAATGGCCACCTGCCCACACGCTTCCCACATACATCACTCCACACTTCCAGAGGGAGAGGAGCAAAGTGAATCCCAGTCTTGTGGTCACTGTAGTTAAGGAGCATTTTGTCTTAATGCCTTAGAAATACTCTGCTTTCAGTGGCAGCAGAACCTGGACCATGGGGCAGAGAAGTCCACCGAAGATCTCTAAAGAGCTCAGACGGGTGGAGGGAAAATGAGAATTTTGGCTGAAAAACTTTTCTGACAAGTAACTTCTCTGCCCAAGTTTCCTGCTCAGATGTTAGGTCTCTTTATCCAAAAGGCAGTTTAATACACTGAGATATCTAAGACCTTGCAACAAAATTTCTGCTGAGGTAAGGAACAGGTAATTCTTATAGCAAGTAGCAGCTGGTATCTTCCATCCATTTGCCATTCACCATGCCTAACTGCTTTGCAATAAAACCTGTTTACATCTAGGTTCCAGTCAGATGTGTCAATCAGACAGCTTTATTCTGGCACTGCTTTTACAAGAAAAGCATGGCCTTTGGGTTGGGACCTCCAGCCATTTCCAGGTTGCACTGTCCTGTCAACATTGTACATGACTAATAAAGAAGGGTATGCAGGGTAAAGAGCACTTCTAATTACACTTTGGATCTGCACATGTTTTTCACCAACACAGTTACAAGTGGCCTCACACAATTCTGATCTGTTGAGACAGATTCCAAACAATGTGACACCTCATTCTCTGGGTGCAGTGAACAAGATGGGGCTGATCATAATCCTAAGTAAAAGCAAAAAACTATGAGTTAAAAATGCAGAGGAAGACACGTGTGTTTGCTGTGCAGCTGCCACAATGCAAAGTGGATTTAAATAGCTCTTGGAGAATTTCTGATTCCCACATGAAGTCTGACTTGAGCCAAAGGTGTGTGTGGTTGTCACCTTTCAAACGCAGGATTATCCATCAAAGAAGAGGTGGCATCAGCGTGCATGAAATCACTGCACTTTCTGGCTAACAGCAGTTCCAATTCATGGTTCTTCAAGTGCTTCTCTAGTCAAGAGGTACCAACTCTACAATCCTACCAGAAGCTTCAAAAATTTAGCAGAGGAAAAGTCAGCCTCTTAATTGGGAAAAAATCCAAGTGTTAATGAAGTGTGGAAAATGCCAGGGGCTTAATGAGCTGGACCTGTACTAGGAACAGAAAGAGTCTGTAAGAGGCCAGCAGGTGAGACATCCCAACTGCTCCACAGCATCACTCCAGGCACGAGGAAGGTCCCAGCTGCCTTTTCTGCTGTGGAGCCCTAGGGCTATTGTATCCATCACGTGTGTAACCCTTATCAAACTCACGAGTACAGAGGTATGAAAGCAACAAAAAGATTTTCCTTGTTTTCTATGCAATAATTGCATAAAGTATGAAGCAATCAGAGCATTCTGTGTTGAAATCTTTATAACCAAATGTTTTTAGAATGCCTCATCCTGGTTGGGAAGCAGTAAAAGATAAATGTCTTTCTTTTCAGGGCCATGTTCTGCAATGATTTAAGAGAGAAATATGAAGAGAAGATCATACTTAAAGGAGTTGATGCAGAAACCATGAATATACTCTTGGACTACACCTACACCAGCAAGATGCTCATCACAAAGCAAAACGTACAAAAAGTCTTGGAGGCCGCCAGCCTCTTTCAGGTACAGAAAACTCAAATGCACTGATCCAGTCTTGCTGCTCTGGCAACACCACGTCTTACCCTGCTTAACACACTGCAAACTTCTCTGATTTCATGGGGTTTTTGCTTCATATTTACTTCACTGTGGTAAAAAGTGGCAGTGGCAGCCAGCCATGTGCTGGAATGCTGCTGTGCTGGGTGCCATGCAAACTGGCCAAGAGCCAGGCTCTGTCTCCAAGAGCTGTTCCCACGTGCTGCTTTCCGTGCTCCCCAAGGTTCAGGTCACCCTCCAGCCCAGAAGAGTTAGTGGGCAGTGGCTGGCATGGCTGGCCAGAGCAGGAAGGTAACTTTGCCTCTCCCTCTCCACTGCCTTGGGATGGAGGCTTGCCCAGCCAAAGTTAGCATCCTCCTTGGTGAACTCGTGATGTAAAGGCTTTTAGTCATTACTTGGGACTTGTGGGAAGCCAGACTTGAGTGGTATTACTCAGCCTGTGGTCCACGACATATTCACGTGTCCTGTAAATCACCTGCAATGTCTAACAAATTGCAGTCCCTGGTCCCACGCTGCAAATTGCCAGCAAATTGTAACCAACAGAACCTGCCCAGTGCCAATGTGCGTGTGTGTCCAGTCCTCTCATTAAGGAAGGCAAGAAACATCCAACTCCATAAATCATCGTGGTTCATTATGGACTTCAGATTCTTGAATCTGACATGGGAATTTTGCTCTGGAGTTCTACAACTCTTCCTTCTAGAGCACAAGTCATTTGAGGAGAGGCTGAGGGAGCTGGGGGGTGTTTAGTTTGGAGAAAAGGAGGCTCAGGGGGGACCTTATCGCTCTCTACAAGTACCTGAAAGAAGGTTGTAGCCTGGTGGGGTCAGTCTCTTCTCCCAGGCAAAGAGTGATGGAACAAGAGGATATTATTTTGGGTTGCACCAGGGGAGGTTTAGATTGGATGCTAAGAAAAATTTCTTGGCTGAAAGAGTTCTCAAGCACTGGCACAGGCTGCCCAGGGCAGTGGTGGAGTCACCATCCCTGGAGGGATTTAAAAGACGTGTAGATGTGGTATTTGTGGACAGGGTTTGGTGGTGCGTTTGGTGGAGGGTTAATGTTTGAACTCGATGATCTTAGAGGTCTTTTCCAACCTAAATGATTCTAGGATTCTGTGCAATGAACCTGTGGCCTTTGGGGTAATGAGAACTGGTACTTGCCGTGGGGAGAGAAGGGAAAGTCATCCCAAAGTGCTCCCCAAGGTAACTTGGCAAAGGTTGTGCAGCTCTAACGTCGCCTGGACCCACAGTGCAGTAACTCACTGATGCTTTCAGCAGACCAAGGCTGCCAACTGGTAGCATTCAATGGTTGCTTTTGGTTCATTTTCAGGACACTTTTCTGTCTTGTTTTTGGTTTTCTTCTGAACCCTTTTTCCTTAGATAATTTCTTCTTTTTTTTGCATTTTTTTTTCTTCTGAAACTATCAAAAGCATAAACTTTTGTTTTCTCATTTCTCTTACCTACTTTTCATTAAAATTTAGAGTAAATTTGATTCACAAGGCTAGTGCTTTAAGAAAACTATGAAACCCTGTTAGATTAATGATAAAATCCTTAGGGTGCCATAAGTAAGGAGTGTAAATGAGAAAAAAATAGAAAAACTTAGAAAACCAGGAATGTTTAGCTAAAAGCAGCAATCTCAAATCTTTCTGCAATCATCTTGGATGTTGTCAAGATTTATAAGGCCTTAAAACCTCATGTAATAAACATGAGGGTTTGGGCTGAAAATGTGTTTTTTCATTTGTGTAAAAAGGATTTAGTAACTACTAAATCTTTAGTAATCTACTAAATCAAGCTGGCAGAACTTGTGTTCTGCTAGCTTGTCTCTGCCATTTTTGCTGAAGAACAAAGAGTGAGTTGAAAGAATCAAATGTTTCATTTCTGTATATCAACAGCTGAGAAGATTACTCATGAAATTTATTGTCACATTTTTGTTTGGGAAATTCTTTCCAATTAATGACACGTGAGAAATCCAAATTCCAAATAGAACGCTTTTATCTGACTAGCAACAACTTGTGGTAGTGCTTGTTTTTAATTTCACAGACTTGGCAGTGAACCAAAGAAGAAATGACTTGCACAGTTCCAGATATTTCAATGTAGATATTCCAATATAGATAATCCTCTTTTCTCTAGAAACTATTTTTGAAAAAGCTTTATGTAATGATTCCTTCCCTTACCCCCTTCCAATAAGCTTTGACCAAATGCAGTCAGAGCTGACAGCAGGAAGGGTGGAAGGCTATTTGGGGAGAGCAGATATCCCTGCTGCAGTGCGCTTTCCTCCTGGGGGAAGCAGGTGAAGGGTTTGGAACAGGGAGCTGCTGAACAGCTAAGCCTCACCCTCAAGTGACCCAGACAAATTTTTTCCACCCAAAGCACAGTTGCAACACGAGTTCAGTAGTCACCTCCTCTGTGTGGGCTGGTGGCTGCCCAGCCACTGTGCTTGCGAGGTTGGTGCCCACCCTGGATCAGCCCAACACCCTCTGCCACCCACAACTGCCTGCAGAGCTGCTCATCCTTTCACCTCTGGGTAGGGCCAAGGTCTCAGTTGCTTCTCAGGGCCATGGCAGAGAGCTCTGCTTCCCCCACCATAACTCAACATCAACCTTCAGACCTGTCTGTAACCCTCCTTCCCCTCCAGATACCTCTGTGTTACCCCATTCCCTCAGCAGGGTTTGGGTGAGGGGCCACATCAGCTGCTGTCGTGGAAGCAAAGAGGTTGTGGGAGGGAAGCAAGCTCCTGAGCAGATGAAAAAGAAACAGTATTGTTGCCAAGGGCTGTGATGCCCACTGTAATGGAAATGCCACATGCAGAGGGAAGAGTGGAGGATGTCCTGGAACTCCCTCATCTAAGCAGAGCAGGTCAGCTCTGCCCTCAGGGCACAGCTGAAGCACCGCCAGCCTCAAGTGCCTGATGGCCTTACTGACTCCCAAAGCACCTCTCATCCCTCTGTTAATCCACTTTCTATGAACAGGACACTCTAAGGAAAACACCTTATGAATATCTGACCCTGCAGCCTGTCAGGGTGGCTGTCCCAGGACAGTGCCAGCAGCAGCACAGCCACCGTGCAGTGCTGGCCCTGCCAGGCCAGGGGGCACGACTTGCTAAAGAAGGGCTTGGGGGCAGCTCCAGGTGGGAGATGGGCTCCAGGCTCAGAAAGCTGTTAGCCAGGGTGGCTGTGCACCTCCAGCCTGGGTGGCTCAGGTGTCACTGCTGAGCTGGGACGGGCTGTCCCTGCAGCCACAGCAGAGCGGCTGTTCGGGGCCCCGCAGCTGCAGGGGGCAGGATCTGACCCCAAAGTGTCCTGCATACAGAGAGGGATTATGAATAAGAGTCCTTTTAGCCACCGTTCCCTTCCCTTTCTAGGGGTTCTACAGAAGGCAGGGCTGCTGGCACTGCTTACACTGGACCATTGAATCAAAGCTGGGACAAGCGAGGACTTAAATGGGGAGAATAAATTCTATTATGCAGAGAGAAGGCCAAGTAGAGGCCAAGTAAACATATGGGATGTCTCTAGCAAGTAAGAACCTGGATTCAAATGGGTATTAGGAGAAAGACTCACTTATTGAAGAAACTGTTCCCAGGGAAGAGGGATTTTCAAGTGCCTGGGGTGGCATTAGGAGGGGTACTCGCAGAGGGCAAGAAGAAAATTTAGAGCTTTGCCAGACTAATCAGAGCAGACGAAGCAGAGGCTTTAAGATGTCTTCCTTCTGGTGCTCTCCTGAGTCATCTGCTCTCCTGGGACTGACTGACGTATGCCCAGCAAGTTTTGGGGGAGTTTTGGGGGGAATTTTGTCTTTAAATGAAGAGAGTGGTAGGGAGACAGTGCAGCATAGAGATGAGGAGCAGCAGCCACAGAAAGTCCTGCCTTGACATGCTCCCAAGCAGCCCAACCTCCCTGGTTAAGTCCTCAGCGTGGCTGTTTCTCACACCCACACCTCACAGTTCTGCATTTGCCTGGCCACAAGCAGCTCCCCAGTGTGGTTAGTGGGGCCTGATGGCCGTTGGACCAGTGTGCTCCTCCCAGGAGAAAACCCTCTGGTGTCACCTCCTGGGCATGACTCTTAACGAGCCGTGTATAAATAATTAGAGCACTCTACAGTGGTTTGCTCTGGGCTGGTGAGAACATTGTTTTGGGGTCTATTCCCAGAGTTGTGGATGACTTGTTGAGTGACCTTGGCAAATCCTAGGTTTGTTTTCTTTGTGTCTCATTACCAACAACCTTTAATGCTTACGCCTAATAAGCTTAATAGGGCTAATGCTTAACCTGCCTCAGGCCTGAGGATTACCTGGTGGCAGATCCTCAGGGAAGGGCACTGGCGAGTTCAAAGTGCTTGCCTTGTGCTAGGCCAGAGAATGGGCAAGGTGAGCGTGGCAGGCACCGAGGGCTCACCGAGCTCCACCGCGGTGCCACCGCGTGCCACCAGCATATTTATATCACAACAGCAGCAACACGTTCTGAGACCTCTCATACCCCTGCTCATCAGTCAGTTGCATTTCTCCAAACTCTTGACCACATCTAAATGTAAAACAGGAACCAGGCAGACTGTACACGGCGTCTGCGATCGCTCAGCTCTGATAAACAGTCTAAATGTGTCAACACGACACAGACAGGTCTGGAAGATTCTACTCTAATTACTGAAACAAATCTACATACTACAGTGCTCAAAAATGTTTCGCTTCCTCTTTGTCCTTAAATTACTCTTGTGCAATTTTCCCCCGTGAGACAGAACGAGTTAAAATAGTTTGCTTGCTGACACTGGGTGGAAAGAAGACCCAAAAAGCACAGATGGCAACACACAGCATCAGCTCTGACCCATCTTTCTGTATTTGCTGTTTGCACTGTTCACTGACAAAACCAGCACAAAGTCCTGATGCTGTATCCATATCTGATATCACAGAGGTGATGGAAAACTCAGGATGAAGGACTGTAACTTATCAGTTCTACCCAAAACTATTTCCCAATTCCTGATTAACAGCCAGCAATCTAGCTCAGATCACAGTTCGTGGCAAATGACCCACAGATATCTGTGGCCCAGGATCTGCACATTTGGGACCCTCAGGTGGGGTTAGTGTGCCAAGGAAATTCATGAGAGTGGTTGTGCTGCCCCACTGAATGCAAACACAACCAGTTCTTCCATTAAACACACTCTGTATAAAATGCACATCGTATTTTCTCAGCCAGTGGTGATGATAAGAAAAACAAAGTTCACTAGAACTTCCAAAGGGCTGCCCCCAAGAAGACTCTGGCCAGACAACCCTGGCAAAACCACAACACAACTCAAAGATCTGCTGATGGCCAATCTCTTCCTGCCTCTGATCCCAGTTCAGGGCAGCTGCCCATGCCCTCTTTGGAGGCAGCACTCTGGTCCAAACCTCCCAGACCTCAGCACTCATTTTCCACCACTCTCACAAGACCTCAGACACATTCAGAGTTTTGATGGTGGGAACATAAATGCAGACAGTGGAGCCACCTGCACTCCACAAGCAGACTCCGTTCTAGTTGGTCTGGGCTGATAAAGCAGGGGAAGGACACTGGAAGCCTGGGGATCTTATCTGTGCTTTGTAACTCCAGGATTTCCAGTGCTTTTAGATCTCCTGGAGAGAAAGGGAACATTAGAAAACCCCCTTGTGAAACAAATAAAAATCATGACTGTCACAGGTCCTCTGCACCCTGCAAGAGGAAAAAGGAGCAATAAGGATGCAGAGGGAGAAAAAACAGAGGAAGACATTCTCATTTCAGACTGCAGACACTCTGGGAGATGCCTGGCCTCACATGGCCTAATTCTTGTCTCTCTCAGCTCTTCTCTGTATAGAGAGCATGGGTGGTTGGGATCCAGCCCTGAACTCCATAGCTTTCCTGTGATACAGCCAGACAGTAACCACTCTGGGCTTAAACATGCTTTTTCTGCCCCCAGTTCCTTCGCATGGTGGATGCTTGTGCCAGTTTCCTCACCGAGGCCCTCCAGCCGGAGAACTGCGTTGGCATCCTAAGGCTGGCTGATGCCCACTCCCTGCACAGCCTGAAACAACAAGTGCAGAACTACATAATCCAGAACTTCACCCAGGTCCTGAACTACGAGGAGTTCCTGGAGCTGCCGGCCGACATCCTGTGCAGCACGCTCAAGAGCGACGACCTGTATGTCACAGAGGAGGCGCAGGTGTTTGAGACTGTGATGAACTGGGTGCGCTACAAGGAGTCAGAAAGGTTTTCCCTCCTGCCGTACGTGCTGGAGAACGTCCGGCTGCCCCTGCTGGACCCTTGGTACTTCGTAGAGACTGTTGAAGCCGATCAGCTCATTAGACAGTGCCCAGATGTCTTTCCTTTGCTCCAGGAAGCAAGAATGTACCACCTGTCAGGCAATGAGGTGAGTAAAACAGGAAGGTGTTGGCCACTCTTTCTAAGTGTCTTGTGGTTCAGCTCAGAAATCCCGCTGAAAGGATCAGTACCATGGGGCAGAAAAAGGTACTTGCACTGAAGTTTCACTAACTGGTGCTACTGAAGAGTCAAGATGGGCCTCACAATTCATCCTGCTGGCTTAGAGAGTTTAGAAGCTTTTGGAGGGTTGTTTTAAAACAGTTTACATCTTCTTGTTTATGAACATCTGAGCTCGACCCTTCATACATAGTCTTGCTCAGCTAAACAAAGACCCCAGATGACTTCCCTAGTTACTCCTAGCACCTCACCCTCTCAACTGTTGCTTCAAGCCTAAGAAAAGAAGAATAATTTTCCCACTAAACTGTGCCGCAATCTGTAGTGATTCTTTCAAATGTGAATATGTAACATGTCCACCTGTAATTTATGGGAGAAAATGTTTCCTAAAGAGACAATCTCCTGTGAAGAAGACAGTCTCTTCCAGAGGAGAGGTCTGCCTATGTGGCATTTGCAGAGCTCCCTGCACCCAAAGACACAGGTTCATCCTGACATCCAGTTGAGCCCTGTCCTGCCTGCTCAAGGCAGGCTGTGGTGGATCTCCAGTTCTTCAATTGCCTGTCCTCTTTGCAAAGTTAGGTATCAGTCACATTTCCTTGCCAGAACATGCGGTAGAGAGGAGGGCAACCAAAAGGTCGGATTTCACAACAGGAGCAAAGTATGTGAGTGTGTGAAGAAATGTGTATGCCTCCTCAGTCAGAGAGTCAGAGGAGGGCAGGAGGCCCCAGGAGCACGTTGTGGACCCATCAGTAACAGTGGATGTGTCACTGGCGTGGGGGGAGAAACCAAGTGCTTTTTGTGCCAGTGACTGTGTAAGACAGTACACGGTGACCTGGGGCAGTGCCAGCCAGTCTGGGGGGAACTCCTTGAGGAAGCCTTGTCCCACTCAGCAGTGCTGTCAGGTCCACATGGGATAGATAAAGAGAATGTTGCCCCGGGCTGAACACTCATTGCACTCATCTTCAAAGGGCCAGCCGTCAGAGGCAGCGCTGCCAGCTGCCCTCCCCCAGGCTGGCTGGTGCCTGGCCATGGTGGCAGACAGGTTAGAACAGAGCCCTGAAACCTGGCAAGTTCTGGGACAGAGGTTTTAAAAAAATGTACCTAATAATTCTCTAAACATAGTCAAAAGGCAAGATTCACATCTGTGTAAATAATATTTTTTTATGTAGATAAATTACGCCAATTTATAGAAGCATGTTGAAAGTAGAATGAGAAGTAAAACTTTAAGCAAGCTGCCTCCAGGCACAGCATTTAACCTGTAAGTTTTGCTTGCCATTATTTCCTCCAAGAAGAACACAAGTTTCCAAGCACCTCCTGCATTCTTTGCTCCTGGTGAACATCTACCTGGGAAGTGACTTTTTCCAGTGCCCCTGAAACAAAGGGCTGGTCAACAAACTGAGCTGGCAGGCATTAAATTAGAGCTAACCATGTTTCAGAGCCTGGTGCTGGTTTTAAGTAAATCTTCTAATTTTGGCTTGAAATGAAAGCTTATACACAAAGAAACAAATAATTAAAAAAACCCCCTCCACAGCTGAGAACTGTCATTGCTTTGACACTCTAACATAGCTCTTCAGGACAAATAACGCGAGCACTTATTTTCTGGCAGCACTGACTGCAGCCTCACTCTCTCCAAGCTCCCCAGGGCACACACAAACCTTGGGGCCCTCCTACCTTGCCCTCACTCTATCAAGGTAAATAAAACCTGTCCTTTTCAGCTGCCAGCCATGTACCCAGCCTTGGCACCACTGCTCACGTTCATACCTGTTGGTGCCACCCTGGGAATTCCCAAAAGGATCTGAAAGGATCCTGGTCGATAGGCAAGAGCAACTAAGTCCAGAGCTGGAAAAATCCTGCTGAAAGAAGGATATGCTGAAAGAAGGGTATGGCAACTTCTATGGAAAGCTTCTAGGATGCTTTCCAGGACTTCGACTTAGAAGGCACTGGATAATTGGCTGAGCTGATGTAAACTTGTTGTGATTTGCAGAAGAGGTAATCAGAAAAAAGGTCACGAGACCTTTCTGTAATTGTAGGTGTAACTGCCCTGTGTACTCACTCTGTCTCACTTGTGTTTAGATTATTACAGAAAGGACCAAGCCCAGGATGCACGAATTCCAGTCTGAGGTGTTTATGATCATAGGGGGCTGTACAAAAGATGAGAAGTTTGTAGCAGAAGTGACTTGCCTGGATCCTTTGAGGCGAAGCCGCCTGGAAGTGGCAAAATTACCAATCACAGAGCAGGAGCCGGAGAATGAGAATAAGAAATGGGTGGAGTTTGCATGTATTACCCTAAAAAATGAAGTCTACATATCGGGTAAGGAACAAGACACTGGGAGTGCAAGAGGGGAGCAGAGGGTTCTCACAATTATTTCAAGCTTTTATGGAGACCATGCTCGAGGCAGCTTTAGGATAATTAAGCACTACAGGTATTCCAAATGCTTTGGCTTTGAACAGGCTCCAGAGAGCACTGAACGTGTGAGGACACTGCCTAGCTCTGATTTTAGCACAGGATTCCTTTTTAAGCAATATTAATCTATATGCATGGGTACTGGTAAAGCAGCACCCTACACACTCAGTGACCCTGACCTCTCAGTGACCGTGGTCACACAAGGGCTCTGGGGAACAGTTTACCAAACATAAAATGAAGAAGAATTGCTCCAGCATCCTCTGTGATGTGTCCATTTGCAGCTCCACATGCATAAGCAAAGCCCTATTTAACTTCCCCCACCAATACAGCTGAGCTCCACACAGAGGTTTGATCCTGGAGCTACAGAGATCCTACTTTGACAATCAAAAATGTTAAACTCAAGCTTGCTAGTCAGTTTGACAGCTGGTTTTGATGGCTTGTCAAAAACAAGCCTGATGATCTTGTTCTGCTATCCAGAGGAAAAGTGACAGCATGCTTTTCATCACTGTCATGTCACAGAGCAGGGCCTCCAAGGGTAGGATACCTTTCTTCCTGCAAAATCAATCACTGAATTCTACAATCCCTTAAAATGGAAGAGTAAAATGGAGGAGGGAGGGCCAACATCTGAATGCTTTGCTTAAGTATGAATAGTGGTCCACAGCCTTCCATCACATTCCTTCTTTTAGGAATCCACAAATTTTTGATACTTCATTCCAATTTAAAGTTTATTAATTTTTTATCCAGGGATACTAATTAGATTATTCCTTCCCTAGTTACAAATAAAAGAGGTTTTTCCTTTCAGCCCACTATAGAGAATTTCTTTTTATTCTAGGATCAGTCCCTCTGTTAAAGGTTAGCTATAGAGAGAAACCTAAGTCAAACATCCCAACTAGGGAACATCCCTCACACTTCCATGCCCTTGAGTTGAGAGGTCTCTTCTCCATTTGCCTTTAATCTCCTACCATTTCCTCTTTTCAAAGGTTACATGCTTTTTGCATCCTTTTATTCCTGACATCTTTTCCAGTGTATCTTTGCTTTTCTTTACAATCTATCCAGGCTCCCTCCAGGCCAGGCTAATATATTCCCTGCTGTGGGGAGTCTAAGCTGCCTTTCCCTTTGCTTCTATCGTCACAAGTTCTCTTTCCTCCTGCTCTGCTTAATTTCGTATCTTTGACTCTCTCTCTCCATTCCCTCTTTGTCTTCCTCCTTTTTGCCCTTCCCATCTGGCCCCTCCTGCATATCCTTCTACCCTTGTTTTCTTTTACCTCCTGTAACTTGCTTCTTCTCTAACTTCACTTGCATCTTTCCTAACTTGATCTCCCCTCCCATGTGCTCATTTCCCTTGGTGTCTTGGTACGGTCTGGAATCTTCCCTGCCCTTTTAGCATCTGAACAATAGGACATTCCTTTCCACAAGATCCTGATTTCCCCCAAACAGTTTAAATACTTTAGCTGGATGACCTGAAATTCTACATTTGTAGCATGACTAAAAATGACATGAATTATCATTCACCATTCTGTTACTTCTACTAATTTAGTTACAATTTCTCCTCAAATTAGAAAGAACTGTTTTCTAGAGACAGAAAAGAAACAAAATAAACCTCCAGTTCTCTCAAAACTCTCCCAGTCCCCTGATGTACAGTAAATTCACTCACTGGTGCAGCTCAGGGTCCTACCAGAGTTTCAGCCTGTGCAAGAGCACAAGGCAAAGGGAAATTTCTAGGGAGAGTAAGGGGAACACCTGCAGTCCCTCAGCCCCATTGTACCCATGAATGCTGCATTCAGGCCCCTCGGCCACTTCAGCTATTTGAGTGCAAATAAAATTCAACACATACATGTGAAAAATACTGAGACAAAAGCATTACAAACGACTCTTTCTAGCATGCTAATTATCTCCCATTCAATCTGCTATTTGGCCCAGAGATTGGCTCCATCAGTTTGCAGTGATCTGGCTGCAGTACAGAATACCAATGAAGGCAGACACTTTCTCAATAGAATATGAATTCTCTTTTCAGTATATTCACCAGTGAAGCAAATGTTTAATCAGGTTGCAGATGATGGAATAAGCTGCTCAGTCTGTAAATGTGGTTTCAGGCTTAACTAGATCCGTTTGTATTACAGTTACACCAGAAACTGTAGGCAAACAAAAGTGCTTGTTTAAAACTCTGCTCTCTGCTTTAGCATGAGGAAACATTCGCTTGCAAGTCAGCTCTAGAATGAGTTTGCAGGGTCCAGTTCTGATCTCTGAGCTATAAATATGAAGCAAATCCAAGTCTGTAGAGAAAGAGACCAGAAGGAGAGATACAAAAATGAGATCCCAGCCATATGGTCTTATAGTTGAACAGCAAAACTTCCAACAGGTCATGCAGGTCTAGTGTTGGTAGGAGTTCAGAGTCAGGTCTTTTACTTTAGGATGCAAACCGTGAAGCTGGCTGGATCCACCCAGCACAAACTGGCCTGTCTTTGAGGGATTTGGCACAACCAGCTGCAACATCCTCCCTTATCTTGTGCAAATCATGTTTGTTTATTCGTCCCTTTGCTGCAAAGCCCTGGTGGTGGATAGAAATCTCCTGCCTATCACCACACCCCGTGTGGTTGGTTGTGCACTTGGTTCTGAAATGAAAGTGGTTGTGGTCTGGTAAAGTGAGGAACAGTGATTTACCTTAACTGAACATCTGACTGTGGAAATTATTCACAGTTTCCTTTACCATTAAGTAAACTAAATTCAGAAGTTTTCTTCTGCTATGACAGGCCAGGTCACTGGTGTAGGTAATTAAGAAGTTAATAATAAGTAAAAATTACTTACTTTCTGTTGTGGGAGAACATATTTAAATTAAAAATGTTGGAGATTTTGAGTAAGTGCAAGCTATTCTATCATATTTACATGTGTCATGTACACTGCAGGTGGCAAAGAAACAAAGCATGATGTCTGGAAATACAACGCCTCCATCAACAAATGGATACAAATTGAGTATCTAAATATTGGGCGGTGGAGGCATAAAATGGCAGTGCTGGGTGGCAAAGTGTATGCCATTGGCGGCTTTGATGGCATGCAGAGAATCAACAGCATGGAAGCTTATGATCCCTTCCATAACTGCTGGTCAGAGGTAAGATGCTGCATCACATAACATTTTACTCAGTTGGAACATTTTAATCAGAAAATGCTTGGGTTTGGAATCACAGAAATGACCTTGTACAATTCTTTTAAGTATTTCTGGTCTGTAAAAACCCTAAATATTTTTTTCAGTAGAAATGCATATCCTTCAGAAAGTAAAAATCCCTAGATCACTGGTCAGTTGTTGCCTGTGAGAATCTAATGCCTAACTTTTCTTTTCTTTGTTGGCTTTTAAAGCTAGTAGTCCATAAATCAGTGAGCATGAGTATAGTACATATGAACCAGAACACAGGCTGAAAACCAGTCTCTGTTACATCATGTATATAAAATGTGTATATCAATCTGTGCATTATATATGGTGCATTTAAGATGAAAGCACACGTCTCAAGGTCAACAGGAAAAAACCCAGTTCTTTCAACTGTACTTCAAGCAATGAGAGGAGAGAATTAGGCAGCTAATTAATCCATGACAGTAATGAAACTAGGCATTATAACGGCAGATACAAACCCCAGTTTCTAGATTACACAGAGCAATGTGGAGGAATCCAACAATCACAGCTGCAAGCAGAAAGATCAGTATGAACAAATTTCATATTTTTTTTCAGTGCACTTAAGTATGTGAAGGAGATCTGGGGCATTTCTGACTTTTCTGATCTCCTGGCTTTTCAACTGTGGACTGTGTAATTTTAATTTCAGCATTTGAACTGAGTATATTTTTTTAAGGGTCTTAAAAAAAAGTTGAATGCTTCTACCTTACCCCTGAAAACATCATCTTCTGAACCCAGGGATATCATGAAAGGGATGTCTGACTTCAAATTCCACAGGCTCACACCCCACAGACGACACCCTGACTCCTTCAGATGGTTACTAATGATGTTTATGGTCCCCAGGCCGCTCCCCTCGTGGTCAACGTGAGCTCCTTTGCAGCAGCAAGCTACAAGAAGAGGCTCTATGTGATCGGGGGAGGGCCTAACGGGAAGCTGGCGACGGACAAGACCCAGTGCTACGACCCTGCCACCAACACGTGGAGCCTGAGGGCGCCGATGCCGGTGGAAGCCAAGTGCATCAACGCCGCCAGCTTCCGTGACCACATTTATGTGGTGGGTAAGTGAAGCACCAATGGCTCTCCTGGTCCAGACACAGCAGGGCTCCCTTCTGTCTGTTAGCTTTACCCGGAAACTCTGTGGAGTATAACCAAGTAGTCAGGTGGCTCTTCCCATTGAGCTTAGCGAGGGATGGGAATCCAGCATCTTCACAGACAGGAGGAAAGAGTCACCAGGTCAAAACGCCTGCTAGGCGGTGGCAGGTATCTTGGAAAGCTGGAGCTAGCCCAGAGACAGCTTAAAGCCATCCAGAGGTGTGTTCACAGTAGCAAGGGCAGCATTTCATGGCTACATTGTGCCCCCTCTCCTCTCTAGCAGCATTACACAGCCCACTGCAGGCAGGATTTATGCAGAGATAAGAGTACTGGAAGCAAGTCGTGGGAGCAGAGCCACTGATACCCAAAGACCCAGAACTCCTCACTAGACTGCACTCAGGGTTAATTCAGTCAGTTGCCAAATTGGATGCAAAGATGGAAGAACAAGAGTTTGATGGTGGTGAGCTGAACTATGATATCTGCACACATCTCCAGATGGTGCTGGAAAATCCAAAAGAAGGAAAGCGGAACATTTGTTTCCCAAACAGGAGCTCTGAAAAGATCCCCCTCCTTCTCTCAGCCTTGGTGCAGGAAGTTTCTCACTTGCAGTATGATCAACATAGTTCTGAGGGCTGGCACAGAGCTGGAGTAGTCACCAAATAACAAATGGTGCTCTGAAGGGAGATTTATAATCTGCATATATATATATATATACACAGATATATACATACACACCTACACCTTTTATGTACATAAATACCTCATGTTTTTCCTCAGCACAGGGATTGGCCTCACCCTGTTTGCCTAGAATGACAGAGAGAGAAGGCACATGTCTTATGGGCTGGCTGATACAACTCCTGATAGAAACAGACACGATATTCCAGTTACATTCGCTCAGCCCCTCAAAGACAGGGACATCCACCAGTAAACCCATTGTTTACCTATCTGAGAACTAAATATAGTTCAATCAGATAGAAATCAGCCCCACCTGAAGTTTAAGAGATAAAAGAGCATTTGGTTACTGCATCCAAAGCAATCAAATTACCCAGATCGATGAGTTACCGCCAGATGAATCACTATCACTAACAACATGTTTTCAGTCTACTTCAAGTGGGAAACAAAACTTTTTTAAGTCACCTCACGATGACTTGATCACCCCTCAAATACTGGACTAGCATTGTCAGACCCAGCATTTTTTGTAACTATAATAGATCAATGCTCATTTTGTCTTCAAGGCTTCTTTTCAGTGGTGCCCAGCAACAAAACAGGGAGCAGTGGCTATAAACTAAAACACAACAAGTTGTACCTCTACATGAGGAAGGACTTCTTTCCATGGAGGGTGGCAGAACACCGGAACAGCTGCCCAGGGAGGTCGTGGAGTCTCCCTCTCTGCAAACATTCCAAACCCACCTTGGCTGTGTTCCTGTGTCACCTGCTCCAGGTGACCCTTCCTTGGCAGGGAATTTGGACTGGATGATCTCCAGAAGTCCTTTCCAACTTACCAATTTTGTAATGCTATACAGCTATTACAGAAGACACATCCAGTCCCTACAAATTTCAGAATAAGAACCATTTCAGTGTTGGTAGTCTCAGGAGGGAATATATTTCCACAGTCTTTCTGGAGAATTAAGGTATTGATCATTTCTTTGAGAGAAAAGGACCCTGCAAAATTGAAAAGGAAGCACAAAAACTTTCAAGAATTTGGGAAACATAGAGAAACTGAAGGTCACTCTGTTTAACAAACCCATAAGAAGATTACTGGATCAGTCTGACAAACCCCTAAACAAGGAAAAAAACCTCGAGGTAGGAATATTGATGGACAGATGGACACTGAATTTAAGAGGAGTCAGTGAAAAACTCCTGTACCCATTTCTCATAGTGATGGCTTACCACACCTGGTCCTTCATAGTCTAAGCTTTTTAAACAAGATTGTACTTTTCTGAAGCTGTGTCCTTAGCTGAAGCCCCAGGTCTGAGAAAAGTCTGTTTCTGAATGCACTGTGGTCACACTGAATGATCACAGCAGTTTGTTCTGACCTTAAAATCCACAGCCTTATGAACAATAAGTGGCCTTCTGTGGATCAGGCTTTCAAAACAATAAAGTATCCTGTGACCTTGTTTTTTCTTGGCTTTGGGGCAGAAATCATTCTCAGGAATTCCAGAAACAGAGCCCCGTTCAAGTGGATGGTTTAATTAAAATCCCTTACAGGAATGGCTAGTGCAAATATCCATTTCCTCTGCAGGTGGAGCAATGAAAGCCCTGTACTCCTACAGCCCCCAGGAAGACACATGGTGCCTGGTGACTCAGTTCACCCACGAGAGAGCCAGTTGTGGGATTTCTCCTTGCAACAACAAGCTGTTTATCACCGGGGGCCGAGATGAAAAGAACGAAGTCATTGCAACAGTGCTCTGCTGGGACCCTGAAACTCAGAAGCTGACAGAAGAGTGTGTCCTGCCCCGGGGGGTGTCTCACCACGGCAGTGTTACCCTCAGGAAGTCTTACACACACATCCGTAAGATTGTGCCCGGGGCAGTTTCTGTCTGACCGCAGGAGAACTGCAAAGAAACCCGGTGGCTCCGTGGCACAGACTGCAGTGAGGATGGCTTTTAGCTGCAGGGAGCAGTGGGGGGAAACACCTCCACAGGCCCTCTGGGGAGTGTCTGTATATATGCTCAGCCCTTGCATTTCCTCTGTACAGTACATCCTTAAATTATCTTAATTCCTTCCCCCCACAGAAAAAACAGGGACCAGCTGTAGTTTATTCCTGCCGACACGATACCTCCAATCAGGTGAAGAAATGAGACGTGTAGGTGGGAAATTTACTTCCCAGCTCTATCTACCCTGAAATGTGCTTGAACTGGCTCAGCCTGGTCCCAGTGTTTCTTCAACTATTTATTGTGTTAAGTTGGGTTTGCTGCACGTAGTGTAAAAGAGAAGATGCTTTTTGGAATGAAAGATTTGTCCCTATGGTGAAACATTGTTTCCTCTAAAACTGTGCTTTTCTTCCAGTGATTGGCTGCTTAGATTAAGTTTGAACCGGTTTGTGTGTTTGTTTGTTTGTTTGCTTGTTTGTTTGTTTGCTTGAAGATACTTCAGTGGCTTTTCAGTTCTGGGTGACCAAAAAAAAAATCCTCCTCAGTTTGCAAACCTTGCTGTCATTCCCAAAATAGAGACTGCACAGGTTGCAAATGTAAACGAACGCTAATCTGGTTCTACTGAACATTCACCGTAGCTGTTTTCTAATAAAGCAGACCAAAACCTGGTTTCCCTTTTCTTGTGCTCTGGGACTTGGTCACTGTTCTGCCTGAAAGGCCTTTTCCTCTCCCCATTGCTGAACACAAGAAGAGTCCGGAGCCCATCCCTGCCTCCATCCCCACTGGGTGGCAGTGCGCTCCCGGGATTTTTTCTCACGGGTTTTGGTTTCCTGGAATGCAATCGGACAGAACAATCCGCTGGAGACAAAAACAGTTCCAGGTACTGTTCCCAGCCTGATTCCCGAGACCATCACGTGCAGTAGCGGAAGGGGCAAATGTTCAACAGGCCAGGAGGGCCCGAGCCTCCAGTCCCAGCATCTGGGTCATTATAGGGAAAGAAAAACAAACATTGAGGAGGTCATGCCCGGGACGCCCTGGGACACTCTTGGCCAAAGACTGGGAACATATTCCGTCCCTCCCCCCCTGCCTAGTTGCTGGAAAGAGCCAACCCACTATTAAATCAAGACAGAAAACACTGAGCAAAACAAATCTCTCTAAGCAGAGAGCAGTGACTCCTTCTAGCCCCTCTCCCTCCCTTTTTGTAATGTCTCCTTTGCCTTTTACAGTATTAAAAATAATATTTCTGTCATGTTGGGCTAAGAAAAAAACGTGGGTTCCTGAATTTCAGCACAGTAACGCCAGAGTGCTCAGTGGCACAGCAGGGCCTGCAGACCCGGTGCAGGCTGAACAGGGCAGACACAGCCCATGGGGCAGGTGGCAGCCCTACAAAAGATCTCTACTGTTCTTCCTTCAGAAAGACTGCAAGAAATCCTGTATATTCTGCAATTTGCCCCATGCTCTGAACGTACTTCTATAATTCCAGACTATTCCTCCCATTTCTTTCACTGATTTTCCTACAGTCCTTCCCTTTTCAACTACTTTTTAATTGCTCCCCTTCCCTCTTGACATTCCTATCGTTCTGTAGGGTGAGTACTTCTTACACTTCCATGCTGGCCCACACTTTCCCATCCCACTCTGCTTTTCAGAAGGCATAAAGAAAAACCCTCTAAAAAGGGTATTTTTTTCCAAAAGTTTTTGTGAAGAACAGTTACCACCTTTGACTTGGTTAACAGCACTGGCTGGTCTAGAGGGACAGAGAAGGTGGATGAATGGGTCCCCTTTCCCTTTGGTAAAACTAATGATAGCAGCTGATGAGACTGACTAGTTCTTCCTACTGGGAATCATCCTAAAAATCAGTAGCCCTCAGGAACCAATGGATGATTTTCATGTCCGTAGCAAAACTTGTATTTTTTTTTTCTCTGGAGAAAAACAAACCACTGAGTTAGAAAAGAGTTGTCAAAATAAATAAATTCTTAACTTTTCATATCAGAAGCAGAAAACAGCCTCTTGCCTCTTCTGTGGTGGTTTCCCAGCCACTTCTGCAGACCTTGGGCAAGCACGAGCCAAAACATCTCTCACTGACAAACACGAGACAGCACAACCACAGCTTGGCTCCTTTCCCTCTCCTAACTCACGAGTTGCTCAAAAATTCTGACGTTTTAATAGCAGTGCATGAAGAGTTGTGTTTATTTGCCCCCCTGCTCTTTGTACTTTTTGGATTTGTGTTGCAATCTGAAGGACTCAAAGCATATCGAAAAACAAAAAACTTTAGCATCACTAGTTCCGTGCAGACGCCAAAAATCACAAGCCTTCTGAAAAAATGGCAAGAACAAGCAGTGCTGGACCCTCAGTTACCAGCAGTGAGGTGGGGATGGAAACAGAAGGCAACAGAAATCAAGTTTCAGGGAAACTTTTAATTTCCTTTTCCTATCAGGGGCTCTCTCTCATCTGTCATGCATAACCTCCTCCGGCGGGGAATGGCCACAATCACGGTTTCTGTCCAAAGAACACACAGTATCTGCGTGTACAAACAGCGATTAATGAAGCAAGGAGCAGCCTCTCCCCGCGGGAGCAGCTGGACCTGTCCCGGGGAAGCTGGTGCTGTTCCGCAGGGCTGGGACACAGCCCCGGGGCTCTCAGGGCTGCCCCCAGTGCAACCAGGCAAATGCCACCTCCCTTCTGCCCTATTACTGTATTAAACTTCCCTTGGAAAATGACACAGCCAAGTGATGGAGCAGAAGCAGACACTCTAATATTAATTACCAGAACCGCGGGAGGTTAATTAGTTTTACTGAACGGTTACTGAAATCGCTGCAATGAACTGTACCCCAAATCCAAAGCTGAGTGCTTGTTTACCTGCCTGGAGCTCCTCCATATCTCCTGACACTGAAACTGATCTCCCTGGAGGCACAGGCCTATCTCTGATGTAATGATGTCTCCAGTGTTGTATGGCACAGCCCCAGCCCCTGGAATGCAGGTCTGACTCCCTTCAGTCTGTAGGTTACAGGCTGCAAACTGCGCTGCAAATCCAACCGAGAGAGGGAGGAGAGCAGTGCTAAACGTAGTGACAGTGTTGGCACAAGAAAAGAGGGGAAAAACTGAGCAGGAATATATTTAGGTTATAAATTAGAATACTTCTAGTGATTCATGGTATTGCAATTCATTAAAGGATTACTGCCCCCAGCTGCCAAATCACATGTTAAAGCCAACTGCTCTCCATTTCACTTTAAATTAAAATGCTGGGCTGGCATGGTGACATCCAAGAAGTTCACTTACGTGACCGGGGAGAGGTCGATTGCTGGGCTCTGGCAAATAGGCTCAGTTTGAATTTCCAGAGCTTATGAGGAGACATCCTTACAAGGCTGGTGATCACTACAGCCACGAGGGTCTGGAAAACACAGAAGCCTAACAATCTTTGAGACAAAACTCAAGATGTGTATGAAAAGCGTTAGAGGAACCTTGTGCTTGTTATGCTGCCCTGAGGAGTCCTTTGGTCCTATTCAGATAAATTGGGGAAATCCCTGAAGGCAAATGATTCAGGGCAATGGTGTGTTTCCTGTACACACTCTGTAATATGCTGCTTTTGTACCAAACAGCACAATAATATTCCCTGGGAAGAAGTTGTTTACAAGCAGTCACTTAAGATAAATTTACCTATCTAATGTTAAAACACTTTAACATGGATGAATAAAATATCAGCTTGCAGTGATCTTTCTTAGAGGGTCATTTCCACAAAGCAATGTTTTGTTTGCCTGGTTCTTGTGATACCACTGTGGGCAGAATTCATATATACATAAACTTGACACAATCCCTGGTTCACTTGCTCTTTCAGTGTCCTTTATTTTACCAAACTTCCAGCTGTATCTTAATATATCCAGGGGATGTGTATGTAAGAAAGAGCTACAGAATTGGTAACAGAATCCTGTCCAGGAGATTAACTTCATAATTGGCAGGAAGATCAAGCACTATTAACCTGCAGCTATGAAAAGTCACTTATGGCCCTGTATAGAATTACCTTACCTTATATTATCTACACAGTTATTTATCTTCACTCCTTATCATGAAAATTTCTAATATAGGAAAACTTGAAATGACTTTGCATGGACAAAACCAACCCTAAGTTAACAGCATTGTTTGCTGTGAATGGGCACTGGCATAAAAATTGGCCCAGGATATGAGCAGCCTGGGCATTTACAAGCAGCTCTTCCATTCTTGATCCTTCCACATGCCAAAGGGATTTAGCAGAAAGCACCTGATTTAGTATGCAGCCATTTCCCCCATCTTTCCTAGGGTTATGGAAGATCCCTGTTACAGACTGAATGTGAAGTCTTTATACAAATACAGTTTCTGTGGCAAATGTCTATGGTACATTCATCTTGGAGAAAAATAAAAGAATCCAGTAAAAAGTGACTTCTAGATCCTTTTATTGAAGAGGATTGAGAAGCACAGGACCATGGTTAAAGCAAATATGCAATATTACAGTTTACTCACTTGCAACAACTTTGCCTTAGAGATGCTTCTTACACAAGAAGTGTCCCTTAGCAGCAAAGCCTCTCTACAATGTTCCTGCTCATCCCCCCATCTCTGTACTGGAATTTGTTACCCCCTCAGTTGTGCTGATGCAGCTGTTTGCAGAACATCCTATAAAACAGATCACTGGGATAATCTCAGTTAAAATAAAAACAACACCAGTTCTCTTTGCAGGGATATTTTTAACCTGCAATCCAAGAAGCGGTTGCATCAGCAAACAGGAGAGAGCAGACACCGCAATGTGAGGAGAGTAACAAGCAGTTTGGAAATGACGGGAGAAGATCAGCAGGAACTGCTCAAACTGGCTCCATTGCCAAAAACATTCCATGCAACCAGACACCGATCTTCTCCTGGCTCACACTTAGTGGAATTCTTCAGATGAGTTGAAATAGCCTAAAGCCACATTCAGCACTTTCTGTGTAAAACTTTAAGCAAACAGAAGGTGAAGAGAGACTGCACATAAGGAAAATACTGCACAGTGAAATCAAGGACCTTTTCTTTTAAGCCCAGTGTGTTTTTACATAAAATCTAACAAATTCTAAAAGTAATATATTTAGGAGCACAGAGCTCTTTTATCAAGTCCGAGGAACAGAACAGCAACTTAAATTTCCCACACTGACGTTTATATGTAATGAAATTTTGGTTTCTTTAAAGTCAGAAATGTGTTTCACTTGTCCTCTACACGTAAGGGGCTGATCTGGAAAACCTAAAAGGCTCTTCCAAGATCTTGTCCCTGATGCACAGCTGGCTCTGCAGCCTCTCCTCCTGGCCTTTCTAAGGCTTTGGTGGCAGGTACCCAGCAGCAGCTGTGACACGGTGCAGCTGTAACCTGGGATCAGGCTGCTGGAGAGGATTTTTGTGAGACAGAGCTGGGAGATGCCTCAGGCAGGATCAGATGTGGTGTTCCTGCTCAGTCGCTCGCCCCGGACCCTGCCGGAGCCACGCTGTGGGTACACCTGTGCCCAGCCTGGCACCTCACTGCTCCTGCCCTGCTGCCCCTGCTGCAGCCTCAGCCTTGGCCAGGTCCCCTCAGTGCAGCCTCAGCAGGGGTCAGTGCTCTGGGCTGCTCCAGGCTCCCCACAGCCCGCCCGGCTCCTCAGGCACCGGCACAGCAGGACAGCACCCTGC